CATGGTATATCTCTCCATCTGTTTGTATCATCTTTAATTTCTTTCATCAGTGTCTTATAGTTTTCTGCATACAGGTCTTTTGTCTCCTTAGGTAGGTTTACTCCTAGATAGTTTATTCTTTTTGTTGCAGCAGTAAATGGGAGTGTTTCCTTAATTTCTCTTTCAGAGTTTTCATCATTAATGTATAGGAATGCCAGAGATTTCTGTGCATTAATTTTGTGTCCTGCTACTTTACCAGATTCATTGATTAGCTCTAGTAGTTTTCTGGTAGCATCTTTAGGATTCTCTATGTGTAGTATCATGTCATCTGCAAACAGTGACAGCTCTACTTCTTCTTTTCCGATTTGGATTCCTTTTATTTATTTTTCTTCTCTGATTGCTGTGGCTAAAACTTCCAAAACTATGTTGAATAGTAGTGATGAGAGTGGGCAACCTTGTCTTGTCCCTGATCTTAGTGGAAGTGGTTTCAGTTTTTCACCATTGAGAATGATGTTTGCTGTTGGTTTGTCATATATGGCCTTTATTATGTTGAGGACAGTTCCCTCCATGCCTACTTTCTGGAGAGTTTTTATCATAAATGGGTGTTGAATTTTGTTGAAAGATTTTTCTGCATCAATTGAGATGATCATATGGTTTTTGTCCTTCACTTTGTTAAAATGGTGTATCATATTGATTGATTTGCGTATATTGAAGAATCCTTGCATTTCTGGGATAAACCCCACTTGATCATGGTGTATGATCCTTTTAATGTGCTGTTGGATTCTGTTTACTAGTATTTTGTTGAGGATTTTTGCATCTATGTTCATCAGTGATAGTGGCCTGTAGTTTTCTTTCTTTGTGACATCTTTCTCTGGTTTTGGTATCAGGGTGATGGTGGCCTCGTAGAATGAGTTTGGGAGTGTTCCTCCCTCTGCTATATTTTAGAAGAGTTTGAGAAGAATAGGTGTTAGCTCTTCTCTAAATGTTTGATAGAATTTTCCTTTGAAGCCATCTGGTCTTGGGCTTTTGTTTGTTGTAAGATTTTTAATCACAGTTTCAATTTCAGTTCTTGTGATTGGTCTGTTTATATTTTTTGTTTCTTCCTGGTTCAGTCTCAAAAGGTTGTGGAAATCAGAATCTTTTTTTTTTCAACATTATGTTAGTGAGAATCAAGGGCATTGTTGAATGTAGTTGTAGGTCATTCATCTTCATTGCTATAGAGTATTCCATTGTATAAATATACCATTGTTTATCCATTCTACCACTGATAGATATTTGGGTTGTTTTCTATTTTGGACTATTAAAAATAATACCGCTATGAAAAAAAAATGAAAAATAAAATGTATTGGGCACTTACCATATGCCAGGAATTAGACTGAGGTGTTACTGTGTATATTTCATTTAATCCTGACAGAGCTCTATGAGATAGACAGTGTTAATATCCCCAAGGATATGAAACCCAAGGGTTAGAATAAATAGCACAATAGTCAATGTCATGTAACTAGAAAATGATACAGTTGGAATTTGAACCCTGGTCTGTCTGAGTCCAGAGCTTACATTCTTAATTACTTAGCTATTCTCCTGCAGTAAGTACATCATGTTCTTTGTTCAGAATGATGCATGTTAAATGAAGTAACCTTAGTCATCTGATCTACTACATTTTATTGTGGGAGTATTCTCATATTGTTAAGGTCACCAAAATAGAGTGTATTGTAATTTTCTATCTCGATGGAAGGAGGGCTTTAAGAACATAGATTTTTAGAGTTTGATGCAAAATGATTTTTTTTTTAAAGCCAAGATGCTTACAGAGGTAGGTTAAGAGAGCTGTGTTGGGAGCTGGACATCTAATTCTCTCACTTATTACAGAATTGTGCTGATGTGTACAATACAATGCTCTATTGTGCATACAACGAAGAAAGAAGAGAGATTGATTTTCAGATATATCTGAAGAAAAAGGACACTAGGAATAATTGCCTTGTTTGGCACATGGTGTTACGCTTGTTTTTGCTTGGTTTTGGCAAGACCTGAAGAATAAAGTCGTTGTAAGGCAGACAGAGTAGGTACTGGCATGCTAGTTGCCAAGTCTTAACACTTATTGGAAAGGTTGAAATAGAGATGAAATCAAATCTCGAGTAACAGTATTTGTATTGTGACATTTATCTTACTGAAAATAGATAAACCTCTAAATTATTATCCTCAGCAACAGGAAACTTGCATAGTTCCACAAGTTTGGGAAGTGTACCCTAAACTAAATGTTAATCAACATATATTAAATGTTCTGTCATTTCACATTTACATGCTATTTTTTAATTTTTTTAAAAGCATTGTGAGGTGAAAGGACAGTATATGATCATGAGGTGCAAATGTCACTTTATGGTTATGAGACATTCGAATATGATAACAGTTGGCCTTGATAAATTCAGACTGACATACCCAATTAACTTTTTCTTGACTGTCTTGTTATGATAACAGAAACATTTATGTAATAAAAAAAAATACAGGAGTTGAATCTGGATACTAGATTTCCTATCAGCTCTTCCAAGTTTGCAACTTTAGTTAACACGTTAATCCTTCTGACTAAAATTTCCTGAAATGTGATGTGGGAGTAATGCTTGCCCTACTTTCCATACAGAAGTAGAGAGGAAATGAAAAAATTATTGTGAAAGTGATTTTTAATGTTAAAAATTATGTAATATATGATATTGTTGCCTTACAACACTACCTTACTCTGGTGATTCTGGAAAACATCTGAGTTCTTAGATTTGTTTTATATTGTTAAGTAGCATCTCTACTTGAATATTTTGCTTCACATGAAATATATAGTCATTAGAGGACAAAGTTACTTAAAAGGCGAAAAATAAAATCAATCAAGTACTAACACTCAGAGGTCACCACCACATCCTCCTTTTAAGGAAATCTTTACTTTTATATGTTCTTGTCCTATTGTTTATCAATGTAGGCTTTTCTGAAACATTTTATACTTAATTATTTGCAAAAATTACCAAGAGGAAGATTTACCAAATAGTGCTTGCTTGTTAATATTGTGGTGAACAAGCTTCTGATACTGTAGAACATAAATGGTTGTAGAAGGCTCTGGCGTTTCTGATACACAAATATGTATACTCTGAATTTTCTTTGCTTGCACACTGATTAGTACCTTTCAAATATAACATACCTATTCTCTCATGAGAGAGAGAAACTGCTTTCATGCATTAGTATTCAAGAAAATGACTAACCTCTCTACCACTGCATTTTTAACAAGATTCTGTTTTATCACTTTTATATCAATATTATCTTGACATGTTTCTTGGGTCAGGTCTGCATACCAAGGCCTATTTTACCAGTCAGGCACATTAAGCATATTGCAGAGTTCTTTGGAGTTTCTCAAGGGCCTGTGGAAATGTCTCAGAGAGAATAAAAAGAATGATTGGCCCCAAAATATAAAAAGAGAGAAAAAATTATCTCATCAGCTATTTAACTAAATGTACATGAATGTGACATTGCCAACATCATTTAATTGGTAAATTTGGTTCATAGAAATTTAATGTGTAGATATCTTGAAAACATACTGCTGTACACTCAACTTTTACTTATAACCCTTACTCTTGGTAGAAGCTATATTTCCGTACACACGAGATGCTTTGTGGCCTAAATTTTAGTATTTAGTTTTATTGCTTTTCCTTACCATGTTGGCACATAGTAGGTACACAATAAATATGTATTGGCATCCTTTGTTATTGGAACGCTACGCTCCTATAAATTGTACCTTAAGGTTTATTCCTGAGATAACTAAATAAGTATTTCTCTGGTCCCCTTTAGCATGGAGGAAGATTCATTCTCCTTTATATATATCTTTGCACGTGTCTTCCAAATATTCTTACTCAAAGAATCTTGTTGCATTAAATGAGGTAGATGCCAGTGGTGCAATGAATAGGACTTTAACACATTGGATGCTTAGGAAATTTATTTGAAACAAAACTCTTTTTAGAGCAAGATAGGTAATTTACTGACATCACCATCATAAAGTAAAATTTGAACATTTACCAAATGAGGCTATGACATTATTCTTATTGCTGTAAAACTAGCATTTGCTTTGAGAAAAAAATGGGTCTTTTTATGGAGCTGGATAGTTTGACAACTAGTAGATGTTGCTTGTTAAATAAGACCTGACTTCTATAGATGGGATCTATTATCTGTATTTTCTTGACATGACTGTTGGGTCTTATGGCTGTTCATCCATTAGTTATGATCTGTCATATGTGAATAGGCCCTGTCCCCATAAAAGTTGATTCATAGGATACTTCTTGCAATTTCCTTCCCTGTGCTGTATGACCCTGTCACATCTACATGCAGCTCTTGTTTCAAAAACAAGTTGATATATGTTTCTGCTCCTTTTGAAGCATCCAAAGTCAATGTTTCCTACTAAACAGTTTTTTTTTTTTTTTTTTTTTTTTTGCGGTACACGGGCCTCTCACTGTTGTGGCCTCTCCCGTTGCGGAGCACAGGCTCCGGACGCTCAGGCTCAGCGGCCATGGCTCACGGGCCCAGCCGCTCCGCGGCATGTGGGATCTTCCCGGACCGGGGCACGAACCCGTGTCCCCTGCATCGGCAGGTGGACTCTCAACCACTGCGCTACCAGGGAAGCCCCAAACTATTTTTTTAAACTGGAAGAAAGAAATAAGGCCCCATTACATTGCATGCTTGTCCAACTCAGTGGAAAAAGCAGTAATCTCCCGTTTGTTCTGAAGCACCTGCTGGTTGATTTAATGAGTGTATTAAAAATGGAACTGCCTTGATATTTCTTTTTAAAAAAAACTCTATTCTCTTTCTTGAGCATGTTTGATTAAAATCTGTTATTTGCTTCACCATAGGTTTTTGTTTTTGTTCTTGTTATTTTATTTTATTTATTTGTGACTCCCATGGTGTAAATTTAATACTTTACTGATATGTCAACATAGCAAACATAGGAAAGTGTGCCCTTGATGTATTTGGACTAATTGGTTTTGGTTTTTGTTTTCCAGCTGGGACAACGTATATCTTTAGCAAAGGTGGTGGACAAATCACGTATAAGTGGCCTCCTAATGACCGGCCAAGTACACGAGCAGACAGACTGGCCATAGGGTTTAGCACTGTTCAGAAAGAAGCTGTATTGGTGCGAGTGGACAGTTCTTCTGGCCTGGGAGACTACCTAGAGCTGCATATAGTAAGTACTTCTAAAATAAGATTCAACTTTTAGCTTTTAGTAAATAATGTATAATTCTGCTTTTTGGACGTTTCCCCCAGCAAAAAATATACAGAAAATATAAATATACTCTAGAGGTAATAAGACCTTATAGCTATTACTGTTGTTAAAAATGTTCTTGACAATAGATTTTTTTTCTTTTTAAGTCTGAATTCCTCTCAATTCTCTGTTCACAAACAATTATTCTTGGTGTGTTTTTAGTGACTTTAGGCAGTCTTGCCAAATTAATAAAAAACATTGTGGTCCAGTAGATACTATTCCATCTGGCTGGAAGCAGTAGGTTGTAATACTGGTGACAGCAGATCTGGATCCAGTGTCCTTATTTCTTTTCTCACCTGAGAAAAGAATTGTCTAAAGTCACATGCAGTGGACAGGAGAAAAGGAATCTTTAAAGGTATTTGGGGATATGAAAGAAAAAGACAAAAAGGTTACTTCTATGCCATCTTATACTCATTTTGATACATACACATCAAGAAAATACAATGGACTCTTGCCATTTATGTCCTGGGACCATGCCTTTTTCTCTAAGTTCTAAGCCTCCCACAAGAATTTAGTTAGCTTTTAGTGAATGTCAGATAATAATTCATGAATGAAAAGCTTTCTTTACCTTTTAAAGTTGTCGTAACTGACTATAGCTTGGGGACTCTTCCTTATATCTCTGCTTTCAAAGAGTTACTAATTTGTGTGGTTGCAATTCTTTAACTTCTCATTTACTCACAATATTTGCAAAGAATCATATAGTCTTTCATTGTCAAGATATATTAATATTTTATTGATATATCAAAATAACAACCATAGGAGAGTGTCATATATTCAAAAAACTCTAAGGGGTTCTTATCATCATAGTTCTTGGTCTAAACTCTCTATCTGCTGGAAGGTCCAGAAGCATATCAACCTCTTCATCTGCCTTTCTATTCTTGAGGTATAGTTTATCTCTTCTGCCTTATGTGATCCTATAAGTTTGTTTTGTTTTGCTTTTGTTTATCATTGCAAGTTCTCCCTTTACCTGCACCCATGCCTCAGAAGACCTTTGATTAGGTCAACATATTCTTTCCTGTTAGAAACTGGCCTTCAGGCTCTCATTGTAAAATGATTAGGAAAACCACCAAACACCAAAATACATTATCACAAACTTGCAGGGTCTTAATTCTCAAAGTTTTATTCATTTATTTTCTTAATCTTAGTTTTCTAGGTTTCTAAAATTTCCAATAAATTCAGTAAGGTTACAACTGACCACAAGAGCTGAATTTATTGCTAATCTTGGAAAACAAAAACTAAAACAAAACATATGGTCACCTTATCTTTGATAAAGCAGGCAGGAATGTACAGTGGAGAAAGGACAGCCTGTTCAATAAGTGGTGCTGGGAAAACTGGACAGGTACATGTAAAAGTATGAGATTAGATCACTCCCTAACACCATACACAAAAATAAGCTCAAAATGGATTAAAGACCTAAATGTAAGGCCAGAAACTATCAAACTCTTAGAGGAAAACATAGGCAGAACACTCTATGACATAAATCACAGCAAGATCCTTTTTGACCCACTTCCTAGAGAAATGGAAATAAAGACAAAAATAAACAGATGGGACCTGATGAAACTTCAGAGGTTTTGCACAGCAAAGGAAACCATAAACAAGACCAAAAGACAACCCTCAGAACGGGAGGAAATATTTGCAAAGGAAGCAACTGACAAAGGATTAATCTCCAAAATTTATAAGCAGCTCATGCAGCCCAATAACAAAAAAACAAACAACCCAATCCAAAAATGGGCAGAAGACCTAAATAGACATTTCTCCAAAGAAGATATACAGACTGCCAACAAACACATGAAAGAATGCTCAACATCATTAATCATTAGAGAAATGCAAATCAAAACTACAATGAGATATCATCTCACACCAGTCAGAATGGCCATCATCAAAATGTGGAGAAAAGGGAACCCTTACAATAAATGTGGAGAAAAGGGAACCCTCTTGCCCTGTTGGTGGGAATGTAAATTGATACAGCCACTGTGGAGAACAGTATGGAGGTTCCTTAAAAAACTACAAATAGAACTACCATATGACCCAGCAATCCCACTACTGGGCATATACCCTGAGAAAACCATAATTCAAAAAGAGTCATGTACCAAAATGTTCATTGCAGCTCTATTTACAGTAGCCCGGAGATGGAAACAACCTAAGTGTCCATCATCAGATGAATGGATAAAGAAGATGTGGCACATACATACAATGGAATATTACTCAGCCATAAAAAGAAATGAAATTGAGCTATTTGTAATGAGGTGGATAGACCTAGAGCCTGTCATACAGAGTGAAGTAAGACAGAAAGAGAAAGACAAATACTGTATGCTAACACATATATATGGAATTTAAGAAAAAAAATGTCATGAAGAACCTAGGGGTAAGACAGGAATAAAGACACAGACCTACTAGAGAATAGACTTGAGGATATGGGGAGGGGGAAAGGGTAAGATGTGACAAAGCAAGAGAGAGGCATGGACATATATACACTACCAAAGGTAAGGTAGATAGCTAGTGGGAAGCAGCCGCATAGCACAGGGAGATCAGCTTGGTGCTTTGTGACCTCCTGGAGGGGTGGGATAGGGAGGGTGGGAGGGAGGGAGACGCAAGCGGGAAGAGATATGGGAACATATGTATATGTATAACTGATTCATTTTGTTGTAAAGCAGAAACTAACACACCATTGTAAAGCAATTATACTCCAAAAAAAAAAACCCAAAACACCTCAGCACAACCATTACTGAACGATCATAAATTTTCTATTCAAAATTCAGTTGTCAAAATGGGAAACATTGGAAAGTAATTTTAGCTGCCTTTTGGCAAATATCTAACCATCAGAATTGAAGACATCTAGATTTTTATGGCATCATAAATAAGTGATCAGCTGAGGTAACGAATGCAGTAAGGAATCTTGCTGTTTAGAGTAATCTCAACTTTCCAAATGTATTTGCTCCATTCTGATTTAAGAGCCTTTTTGGTACTTAAAAAAATAAATAAATAAGAAAACAAGAGCTTTTCCTCCTGAAAGAAATTACTTATTGATCCATAACCAATTACACATTTACTCTGAGAAAAGGTTCTATAATGATCACTTGCAAATCATAAGGGGCCATGGTATTGAATTACTCAAACCATTGTTTCTTTTATGGTCAAAGGGTTTTAGTCCATAGGAATGGGTACTTCCTTCCAATTCTGATCATCTGTGCCTTAGAGTCCTTGTATATGTAAAGGAACTTGTCCCTAAAAACCCAGCCCAGTACCTTCCAAAGCTTCTTTACTGGCCAGAGATTTCTGATAGATATCCTGTGAGGCCCTCCTTCTTTCTGATTCTCCTCTCTTGGTCTTGGCTGGCCATTCACTTTGGATTCAGTTTTTGTTTGTAACACCCTTCCTCTTGGATTTGCTGACTTCAAACTCTTTCTTAATCCTAGCCTGTCCTTGACTAGGAAATTGAAGATGGATGTTGGTTCTCTGGGCTTACCAAACACCATTTGTAGTCAGCCCTACTAACTCCTGTATCAACTACTAGGACCCAGTCTTAGTCCAAATCTGGCCAACTGAAACTTTCCGTTTCCCCCCTTTTTCTCTCATTGCCTACAAGCAGTGATCAGCCATTACTGACTCAGCAAGTTGCTTACATGAAGGTAAGCCACTTTTTTCCGTGTTTCCACATTGCAAACAAAAGTAAGTCAGTGGTTTTCTTTTTACTTCTAAAGTTGACCTTTAACCCTTTCCCATAATGTTGGGTACATGGAAGAGGAAGAGAAGGAGGAGTTAGATATTAAAAAAGGGAAGAGACAGAGCTTGAGAAGAAGAGAGAGGGATAGAGAAAGGGGTGGAGTGAGGGAAGAAGGAAGTAAAGGGACAGAAAATGAAGTGGGTGGGGACCAGAGCTGATACCCATGGCTGATAGAAGCAGAAGTATTCTTAATAATGATTCTTAGATTTGGGACTGTTCAAAGGCTATTTTATCAAATGGTTTACATACCTTTGAGTATATCCTGATTTTCCTCAAATCATTTCTTCTGCTTCCTTCAGAATTGGAAATGTAAGAGGAAAACAGTTGTAGAAAGATTATTACTATTGTCTGATTTTAGTTTTTAAATATAACTGACTTAAAAATTAACCTGATGATTTCACAGATATGTTTAATCTGTAAAAGTTAGAAATTTTGGTTATCTATTAAACTTCCAAGAAAATTCTATAAACCTTCAAGGTCAGCCAAGTGTAAACTATACTCTGATCTTATTTAAAAGCTATATTTATATCCTTAATTAATGGAATTATCCAGTGAGCTGGAAAGTCGGTTGCATACATTCACTCCAGTCTTGGTGCTCCAGTCTTGCTGAATTGTGTAATGCCACTTTAGTTTGATAACTTTTAAAATCTGATTGGCATATAATTTCAGTGAGGATGTGAATATTTGACATTATTATCTTATTTTTTCAAATGATCATGTTTGATTTTACTTAAAAATATAATCGTATTTAAATTTTGATTAACTATACTCTTAAAAATATAATAACTTGGAATAAAATGATTTTTTACTTAAGTGGCCTAGTCTTTACAGATGGATTTTTTGCCATGTTAATATTAATGCTACCACTATTAACCTCAAAGCCGTATGATATTGCTATTGAAATGTACAAGGTTTTAGAAGGGGCTGAAGGGAAGGTTAAGACATAAAGTGAGGGGCAATTAATTAACACAGTGCCTAGAATACAAGGGCTCAGAAATGTTTTCTGAAATAATAAAAGAATTCATGAATTATATATTGAAAATATTGTGGCTTGGGTTGAGTATAGACTCTCAGATTTTCAGTAGTCAAAGTGAAGTCATAAGTGCAGTTTAGTTTCTACATAACTCTGAAGAAAGTCATCCAACTTCTTGTTTACGATATAGAAAAAGTATAGCACTCTATACGTACTGGCTGTATT